CCCGCCCCGGAACTGCTCGGCCCGCCCGCCCCTCACCCGGAAGCGAAGCTGTGGCGCCGGCGGGGCCGGCTTTGGCTCCTGGGCTGCCACCCCGCGCCTTCCTCCGGGCTCGGCACTCGCCTCGCCGCCCCGGCACGCGGCTCTGACCGCCCCGGGCGCCGCTCCACTCCGCCCTCGTCTCCTCTGCCGCCCGCCTTGCTGCCCCGGAGCCGGACCCGCTCAGGCCCCTGCCCCGCTCCCTTTTTTCCTGCCGGCCACACCGCCTGTTGGCTTTCTTGCCAGTAGTAATATTGTTATCGTTGTTAATGACCGTTTGGTCACAAAATGCCCCTCAGTCCTCAGCCTTTCAACAGGGAGAGTGGATTGGGGACGGGGTGGGGGAGCCTCCCGTCTTCCAGCGGGAGGCGGGCCCTGACTCCGCCAAGTGACTCGGCGCCCCACACAGCCCTTGTCACTTTGTATTGTCATTGCCCCTTCTGTGTCTGTGGGCTCCGGGACTGCCCCATTTAGGAAATAACTATCGGCACCTCCTGTGCGTCAGGCACTGTAGGTGCTGGAGGGGACGTGAGAGGCAAAATTCCCGCTCTGTTGAAGCATATGTCCTGGTAGGGATGAGACAGAAACACGTTAAAAACTTATCTTTAAAATAAAGGTAATTTCAGGTGTTGATCTATGAATTAAATTGGGGATCGGTCTGATGGCGGGGGGAGAGGGGGACGGCGGGGATATTTATGAGGGTCAGAGAAGTTTACACCGAGCGCCAAGATCATGAAGACCTGACCTATGAAGATCTGGGCACAACTACTCCAGACAGGGAAAAGCAAGTGCATAGAGCATTAGGGGAGGGGGCAGGGAAGAAGTTGGCTTGTTCAAGGAACTGCAAAATGGCCTGTGTGGCTGGAGAGTAGTATGAAAAGACGGAGAGGTGGGCCAGATGTAGGGCTTTGGGAGCCGTGATAAAGAGTTTAGATTTTGTTCTAAGGGCAACGGGAAGGCGCTGGAGGGTTTTCAGCAGAAGGACAAGATCTTATTTAATCTGTAAAGGTAGTGCAGATTGTAGGGAGGAGGGGCAAGAAGGAAAGCAGGGATACCAGTTAAGAAGCAAAGGCATCCAGGAGAGAGAGAGATGTGGCTTTGGTTGGAATGAGAGTGGTAAAAATGGGCAGATTTGGATGTTTTGTAGGCAGAGGGAACGACTAGCTGATAATGGGGGAGGGGCTGAAAGAGAGAACTCAGGAATAACTCCTAAATTTTTGGCCTGAGTAACCGGCTGTTTGTTGATACTTTTTACTGAGTTGGGGCCTGAGGAGAGGCTTAGGTTGAATGGATAAATAGAAAAAAACATGACATCGGCATAATTTGTTAGCAATACAGATGATCCATCTATCTACAGTTTTGCTATCTAGTGGAGGTTTCCTTTTCTTTCATGGCTCATGGACTACATCACCGTTAACCCTGACTTTAGATCCAGGTCTTTCTTTCCCATGCAGCAAACAGGAGATGAGACACTCATTTTCTGCTTAAATGCCACCTAGGTCATCTTTAGAAAGAGCTGGAAGAGTGACATCTGTCTCTATTTTTGGAATGCCTACATGTCCACAAAACTCAGCAAGTTTCAAATTCCACCAAATCCAACAGCCTTGCAGAAATGTACAGAGTTATCAGTGTCACCGCATAGATTGCATAAGGAGGGATTTGATTGCCAGTCTATAGACTTTCTTGTCCAAACATTGGTCTCTTGGGGGGAAGGATTTTTCAAAAAATTATTATTATATCATTTATTTTTCCTTTGCCAGAGAAACTAGCACAAGCTGATTTGTATATTCCAGGGATTCAGAGATGCATACATTACTGTAGGAGATCTTCACTTTTTTTAAGTACTGGAGAGGTTTGATGGAGTCATATTCTTGGCTTCTGGTCCAGTGTTTCTAATTGCCCAGTAATAGAAGAACTCCAACTATACAGTTCTGAATTCTCAAATAATGTCCACTGACGTTCACTACCGGGCAGTTGATGAGAATCCTAGGGTGAAATGTTGGAACAGTTTGCCTATTCTAACTCCACCTGAGTGGAATGGTGATAACTTGATTCTTGTGTTTAAAAAATACAAGTATAAATTCCTTCTTATACCCAGGCAGCACTTCTCAGTCACTCCTGTTTCTGCCCTTCCACAAAAGGTTCTGAATCTAAGATTAAAGCGTAAAAAAACTAGTATAGAGTTAAAAAAATTTAAAACATTTTTTACCAGATGAATGGCTGCACATCACTACAGACAACAGTCACCTATCCCATCTCTTCTTACCAACCAGGATGGAGGTGCGAGGGGTGGGCAGGGGCCAAAGACTCTGTTTACACATTTCCCATTAATCCTGTTTTTAGCCCCACATCTCATTCTTGCCTTCCAATATATCTGGTGTGTCCGAGTCCCAAGTCTGTCTGAGATCTACGGGACAGATCAGTTCCCTTCTCTATATCTCAGTCTAGATTTTAGTAGAGGCAAACCCTAGGGGTTGGGAGAGGTGGTGTGATGGAGTAAAAAGAATACAGAACTGTATTCCGTATTCCACCCCTGCTACTGATTTGAACTTGGGAAAGTCATGTTGTAAGTGAGCATAAGTGAGGCCATCTTGTTACACTAAATGGCCCCAGCCCCTCCTCCGTGTGACTACTTGCTGCGCTGCATGTACTCCAAAAAATTCACATGCTCTCCTGATTTATGGCCTCTGCTTACCTATGACTCCCCAATAGCTTGATAAATTAAAAACTTTGTTCTATGAGTTTCTCTCCAGGAACAGGCTGACCACAGGTGGGAAACACACCTACAAGGTATCCATCACAGCTGACAGAAGAATGGAACAATGTGATGCCTGGAGCCCGTCATGCCTGGAGACCAACATCCCTGGACCCCCTCCTTACTGCTCATTTTCCCTATATAACTGTCTCAAGATTCTGTAATCTTTGAAGGTGGGTTTTTGAGACATCAGTCACCTGTCTTCCGATTTGCTGGCTAATCTAATTAAACTTCGTTTCTCGATCTCTAACTCGTTGTGATTAATTGGCTCAGATTGTGGCGAGCAGCGCGAGCCCATTGCTCGGTATCAATGTTACCTCTCTGGGCCTCTTTCCCCCATCTGACCTAACAGACTCCCAGAGTCAGGCACTCTGTTTCAGTGATAGGACCTCCTCATCCTCTCACTCAACCCTAAGCAAAGCAGCTGGGACTTTTCTATTCAGACAGAGCATGAGCCACAAGGCTCCTTAAGGCAGAAAATCCTTGGGGACCCAGAAGAACATAGAAGTCCCCCAGGAGGGAGCTGTGCTGGCAGCCTGAAGTCATAAATAGCCATCCTGGGCTGTTAAAGGGCCGTGAACACGGTGTGCTTTATTGTGATGGATGGTAGGCCTTGGGCCAGCAGAGTCTGAATCCGGATGGGACCTCGGGGAAAGCTGTGGAGGGGATTGTGCAATCACTCTTCTCTTTAAGGAGCATCTTTGGCCTGACAGGATAAAGAACACACTGCCTCCCTGGGGGTCAAGTTTACTACACAGGCCAAGAGTGTGGTGGATGCACCACGTGTATGCCCCTGGGGTTTCTGGGATTGGATGAGACGAAAGAGCTAAATCCAGAGGTTAAGAGTTTGTGCCTTGGGCTCAAATCTCATGTAGTCTCGTGGATTGGGTTCTGTTGGAGCTGACTCGGAGACAAGAGATTATCCAATAGTGTGTAGTAACTTTATTAGGGAGGGCTCTTAGGATCAACTCCTGTGGGGGAAGGGAAGAAAGCAGGATTGGGCAGAGGGGACAGTTTGGCTGTGGTGCCATCACAGGAGGCTTTGGCAGACCTTGCAGGGAGCTCTGAAGCTGGGATGGCTGTTCAGAGTTGTTCTGAGTTGGAGTAAGGGGGCCAAGCCTTTGTATCCCTGCATGGACCAGTCATTGGATGCTAGCTACCCCAGGAGTGGGGCATGACCTTTGATAAGGTGGCTTTTCAGCCAAGGACAGTTCCTTGAGAGGGCAACAGCTGAGATCTGTCTCCCTACAACCTTCCGAGTAGCTGGGGACTAGGTCCTTCAGTCCTGAAGGGGGACCAGGCGGCACAGTGCAGCATTTGCAACAGTGCACCCATTGTGCTGGCAGATCCACTTGCTTCTTTTCAGTTCTGAGAGCAGCACCTGCAGGACCCTCTGGGCATCTTTTCCTATGGGAAACTTACAAGAGGGAGGTTAGTGGGACGAACTGCAGGTCCCGCTGCAGCAGCAGCTCATCTCCAGGCATAACTGACAATCATTTCCCTCCTCTCCTATCTGTCCTAGATTCCTTTCACCCTCTGCCAGCACCTTTGATGGTCTAGGTGGCTTACGTGGTGGGGTGGCCCAGACCTCAATCCCTGAAGGGTTTGAGCCTCTGGTTGCCATGTACTTCTCTGGCTGTGGCTGCTCTATTTGTCCATTTACTGTCAAAGTAGGGCGAGAGAGTACTAAGAGACACCCAGGTGGATCATGTGGGTGCCAAACCATTCCATTTTACTACTGGTGAAAAATTGAACAATCAGTGCTTCCCTGTGCCTGAGGCTACATTCGATCCTCCTCTACTGGGGATGGGTCCTCATTATCACCTGGGCGGTGGGTCATCCAGCTCCAGAATCCCATCTTAGCTTCTCCTTTTTTAGACCATCCCTAGCACTAGCTGTTGCAGGTTGGGTTCTCTAGGAAACACACTGAGTTGCAGGGAGATTATTGGGGGAGTGCTGTTGGTACCCACACCTGTGGGGGGAGAGAAGGAAGCAGGACCTAGCAGAGGGGAAGTCGGGTTGCAATGCAGCCACAGGAGAACCTCAGTGGACCCTGTAGGAGCTCTGAAGCTGGAATGGCCCTCCAGAGTTGTTCAAGTTGGGTGAGGGAGCTAGGCTTTTTACCAGTCCCTGGATGCTAGCTGCCCTGGGAAGGTATAATCTCTAGCAAAGGGCTCTCTTCAGCTAGCAGTAGGGGTAGGGTGGAGGGGAGGAATAAGTCCTTCAGCCCTGAAGGGGGATCAGAGCAGCACAGCACAGCATCCACGACAGTTTGTGTCCCGCAACTCCACCAATCAGTATGATCTTGGCATCCGCTCTAGAGTTTTCAGCCTGGGATGGAGGGAAAGCGGATGGACCCCCTGTGTGCCGGGTGCTGATGCTCCCCTCATAGAACCTTGAATGCTTATGCGCTTTATTCCCACAAACTCTCACCATTTCCCTACTGATAGGAAAATGGAGGAAAAGGATGCATTTTATGAGAGAATTAATTTGGTATCTGGACAGATGCTTTGCCAGACTGTTTGGAGGAGGAACAGACAATCTATCACAAGAAATCCCCTGCAGGAGACTCCTTGAGGTTGAGAGTAACGGGAACAGGATGACTCTGTTCATTTCCTTTTGTGTCAGCCTCTGCAACAGGATTTATCCAACAGGAAACCTGCCCTGGTTTATTATCTGAGTAGAACCACAGAAACAGCCGAATAAGCTGGGACCTCTCCAGGTCTACCATGGAAATCTTTGCACGGTGCTGGATTACTCTTTGTTGGAGGTATGAATGCGAGTTGCTTAGCCTCCACTTTCACCAGAGTGGGGATGACAACAGGACCTACTTCATTACATTGTTTTCTATTTCTTCTAGAATTTATATTTTCCTAAAATTGTCCAATTCATCTGTTTTTTAAACCTGAATTCCAAGAGGATAGAGCCCTTGTTTGTCTTGTCTACTGTTTGTTGTGTCCCCTGCACCAGCACAAACCACAGAGCGGGCTTCCGGTAAATATTTGTTGTATGATTGAATGTGTGTGGGAGGAAGAATTATTTTGGAAAAAAGAAGGAAGAATTAATTCCTCTCCTAATTGTGACTCATTTTTTTTGGCCACCCTTGGCCTTTTCTCATTCAAAACATTCACGAAAAAAGTGCAGTTCCAAAGCAGTGGGAGCTGTTGATGCAACAATATTTAAAAATATCATTATTAGGAGCGCAGGAGGGGATTCTGTGCTCTTCTATGATCTTCTAGATATGATCTTCCTCTGTGACCGTTTCACATCTTGGAGACACCCTGCTCTGTGCTTCCTCCACCCTCCCATTTCAATAGTTTCCCAAGAATGGATGATGAACCCACTGGGAGCCAGGCATTGTGCTAATCCTCGCAGAGGTTGTTTTTCTCTACCAAAATTTTCACACACTCCATTTTCCAGGCTCCACCGAGGCCTTCTGGTGACCACATGGCTGCCCAACTTCTGGGCGTCGTCGCAGCGCCCCCTGGGGGCCAGCCCGAGGAGCGGCGCCCGAGGTCTCCTCGGCGCCCGCGGTCCCCCTTTCGCGCGCAGTGCGCCGGCTCCTCGCTCCTCGAGGGTTCCAAACAGTTGGGAGTTGGACCGACTCCAGCTTCCGCTCCGGGAGGCCCTCCTGAGCGGCCTGCCCTCCCGGGGCCATGGAAAAGGCCTTCCGCAAAAGCAGAAAAAGCAGAAAGGGTAACTGGGGAGTGGGAAGAGAGTGATGCCCTCTCTCTGGGGACCAAGCCTTCCTCACTTTTCTTCTTCTGTAAAATGGGAACGTTACACGCTTGGCCTGGAAGACAGCCTCTCACCATCATTTGTTTACCAAACTACAATTTACATACATCAAGAGCCCCCCTTTTTAGTGTACAGCTCTGAGTCTGAACACACGTATACCCACGTTTAACCACTACCACAGTCGAGATGTGGAACAGATCCACCACTTCCCAAATTACCTTGTGCTGCCCCTTTGCAGCCAACCCCTTCTCCCACCGCAGCTCCTGACACCCCCGAACTGTTTTCCATAGTTTTGCCCTTTTCACAGAGAACGTCATAAAAATGGAAGCATATAACATGGAGTCTTTTGAGTCTGGCTTCTTTCACTTAACTTTGCTGACTTTGGAAGACCAGGCTTCATAGTAGGTTATCATAAGCACATTTAATTTGCAAGTTGAGGCTGGAACCCAGACCCTGCCTAACATGCCACTTTTTTGTATGCTCAGGAACTGGAGGCTCAAGGAGCCTTCAAATCCCTCCTATAATCCAGAAAAGTCTCTACAGATGGTACCTTCTTTATACTAGGTTATTTTCCAGACAGAGAGCATCTGTGGTTTTGGAGAAGGCGAGGTTGGAGGTGGGCAAGGACCCTTGCTTAGAGGAAAGGGCCTGAACCCCGCCATCTCCCCACAGCTGTGGTGGGGGAGCAGGGGAAGCCCCATCCCTCAGCAGTGGGGAGGACTCCTGGGCCCCCAAAACACCACAGTCGCATGGATTTGGCAAGTCGCAGTTTGTTATTTGTCCTTAAGGAAAAGTGTGTGTGAAATGCTGAAATGTGTGCTGAAAACAAACCTCCCCAGAGGGTTCCTCTTGGGAAAATAACGTGTTTTAAATCACTCCTCAGTCTTTGAAACTTTTCTTGTGAGATTCAGTTCTGTGGAAAACATATTTCAACCCCTCCCACTGCCCGTGGTCCCGGATTTTCCTCCCAAATGCTTGTTTTCTACTGTCCTTTTCACTGTCACTGCCATGACTTGCTTGGTGACTGCAGTAACCCTTTCTTTCCCACTTCCACTCCAGATCCCACAATCCACACAGCAGCCAGAGGGTTTTAAAAAGAAAAATACAAATCTTATGGGTCCTGCTTAAATCACTTCTAAGCTTTTCTAGCAAGGTCAACCTGCAACGCAGCCCGTCTGCTCTGCCTTTGCTCCTCCTGCCTGCCCCCTCCTGGTCTCCTTTATGTTCTTTCCTCTTAGAACCTTGATCCAATTTGCTCCCTCCTACCCTCCTTTGCCTAAATATTTCCTATTGGTACTTTCGAGATCAATTCAAATTTCACTTGGTGTCCTGTTGGTCACCCTCAGAGCTCTCTGTACTTTTCCTTCATTGTGTGAGTTACAGTTTGTTATTCAATATATATTTACATGACTGATATCTGTCTCCTCCACTAGGCTGGAAGATCCATGAGGGCAAGAAACACTTCTGTTTCCTACACACTGCCTGCATCGATACACAAATAAATGCTGCTGTCTAGGTGAAGGACTAAAACAAATCTTCTTTTTATTAGAAAGACAAATCAGCCTCAATGTCAAGACGTCTGTACACAACTTGAGCAAAACTCAGCAGACCAAACTCACTGTGGGCAGCCTGGGATTAGGCCTGATCATCATCCAGCATGGGCCCTACCTCCAAATCATCCATCTCATCAAGAAGGGGGCTGCAGCCAGGGATGGAAAACTCCAGCCAGGTGACTGTGATTTCCCCATGCCTCCCACCCACCCACCCCCTGCCTCCCTTCCATCTGCCTTCAGGGAGACTCCGGTTATTAGGTTTCAGTGTAACCATAATGATGATGATGGCATTGTTTGAGAGCTTTCTACGGGCCAGCCAGTTGCTATCACTTATATAATAACCCTCACTGTTGCGCGATTTTTTCATTGAATTCTTACAACAACCCTCTAAGTAGTAACTATTATCATCATCCCCCTTTTACAGGAAACTGAGGCTCAGTAAAATTGAGTTCCTTGTCCAGGTTCACCCCCATGTAGCAGGTGGGATACAAACACAGGCACAGTGTCACTCCAGAGTTTATGGCTCTCTGTGAATAAAGATTTCTTCTTTTGTAGGTAGTATTCATCATCATTAACATTTAGGTGCATGATCTCATTTCACCCTCCTCTGACAGTCTCGGAGGTAGATCCTGCATTAAACCACCTTAGAGATAAGGAATCAGACATTTAGTAACTTGCCCACGGTCACACCAAGGAGCAGGGAGATTCCACAGCCCAAGCGCTTTATCAATACTGCCCTGCTTTTCTTGTCTTTAGGTGAATGAATTTTCCATCCAGTTCAAGACTGTTTTCCCCCCCAGTGCCTGCTCTGGGCCTAGTGCTGTGCTCAGGAGTCAGGGAGGCACAATGGGATGGTAAGGGGGTGAGAAGGAAAAACCATTCAGTGTCAGCTGGCCTGAATTCAGGCGCAGGCTCTGCCACTTTCTAGTTCTGTGACCTTGGACAAAAGTCACTTAACCATACAGGCCTCAGTCACCTCATCTCTAAATTGGGATAATACCACCTTTGTCAGAGGTTGCTAGGATTTGATGAGAAAATTTTTATGAAAGTGCTTCAAAAACTACAGTGCTATGGAAATACTGGCAATCATTTCTCTTGGGTTGTTCTTAGAGATTCTCTAGACTTGTCTTTTTTTTTTTTTTTTTTTAAATTATTGTTGTATTGGAGCCCCAGTGGACTAAACCACTGGTTTGCAACTCTGGTTACCTATTAGAATCACCTGGGGCGCTTTTAAAACTAAAGATGCCTAGGCCCCATCTCCCCAGAGGTTCTGATTCAGTTGGTTTGGGTTTGGGGTCAGGGCAGTTTATGGTTTAAAAGCTCCTCAGGTGATTCTAAACTGCAGCTAAGGTTTGAAGTAATGGGTTAAAGAAGAAAGTAGACAGAGGGTGCTATTATGAACATTTACTTCACCTTAAAATCCAAAGCATTTCCTCCACGTATCACTACTTGGTACTGGGGAACAAACTGCCAGAAAGAAGGTTCTGGACTTTCCAGACCAAAAGAGCTCCAGGACAGGTCCCACAGGCTTTTCTGCTTGTTCTCTTCAGCTTCTCTAGGGTCAGGTGACAGATGTTGGTTAATAACCAGAGTGCACACTTGCTAGAGTGGGACAGGAGTATGCTTTTACGCACATGAAACAGAAGCTCATGGTGCGGCATCTGTTAGTGGGCTCCTTGAGGTCAGAGGCAGTCTTGAATTCACCTTTTAAATCTAGGACTTACCTACAGTACTGGCACATATATTATGCCTGTGCTTAATAAATGAATAATAAACAAGCATTTGTCTCAAGCATTGTGCAAGGTGTTTCCACATCTATTATCTAACTTAATTTTTGCAACACTCCTAGAAGGTAGATAACGAAATATAGAGGCTTAGAGACATGAAGTATCTTGTTCAATACACAGAGCTAAGTGAGTGGTCAGAGCTGGGACTTGAACCCATGCCTGAACAGAAAGCCCATACCTTTGACTCAAAATGAGATTTCAATACAGAGGAAGTCCAGAGCCTCAAATCTCCTCATGATGAATCATCCACTTCTCTTCAGGGTCTAGGTTTTCAAAGACTGTAATTTAGTCCTTTCGACAACAATTATGAGGTTTTGAGAAGCGATAGTCTTAGAAACTTGCTATTTCTTTGACCCCATTTCCTCCCAGACCCATTCTTTCTCATCCACGTGCTTTAAATTCTGTCCTTTGGTGTTTCATAACAGGGTTTCATCCTGATTTCCTAATTTAGTTTAGTGTTAAGTTTATTCTGGCTCAACTTTAAATTCCTTTTGGCCAGGATGGCTTTAGCAGGCTCTGATAACCAGTCTTATGAAATTAATATAGTTTGAAGGTAAATACAAGTCATGTACTGGGCACCACCCTTACCAGGCCACATTCATTCAATAAGTGTTTCCTGAATGTCTGCTGTGTGTAGGCATCCTACTAGGCACTAGGGTATATGGTGAGCCAAACGGATGTGGTCTCTAACCACATGGAGCTTATGGAACTTACAGCTTAGTTGGGAGATGGAGAAAAATAAATAAAATCTATTTTTCAGTAGTGGCTTGGCTGCTTGCGAAGTTGATTTAATATAGGTAATCGAGACAAAGTTTACCTAATGTGGATCCTACAGCCCATTAAAACAGAAAAAAAAATGTTATGAGGTTGGGATTCATAAATTCCAAATTGGTGTTTCTTTATGAAGGGCAATGTTAATATCTATGGCCAGAGTAATCACATTCATACACTGACATGTTTGGTTTATAGGCAGAATGGTCAGGGAATTATGCTGTTTATTTTCTGCCCTCTTGATAAAAGTCACCCTTTAACAACATAATTAAGCAGAATGCCAAGCCATAGCTTTCAGCGATAAACACTCCTTTTAACATTAGGCAAGTAAACTCATCCAATGAAGCTTTTCTGCCATTGTAATTAACCTCCACAGGATGAACAGCTGTTTCAGACTGCACAATCTGCAGGTAGCTGGGAGCAGCCTAGTTTCATTCTGAAGTTTATGGTTGGTTTTACCCCCAGCTACTTTCTTTTTTGGTGAGGAAGACTGGCCCTGTGCTAACATCCACTGCCAATCTTCCTCTTTTTGCTTGAAGAAGACTGGCCCTGAGATAACATCCACGCCAATCTTCCTCTATTTTGTACGTGGGGTGCTGCCACAGCATGGCTTGATGAGCGGTGTGCAGGTCCACGCCCGGGATCTGAACCCACGAACCCTGGGTCGCTGAAGCAAAGTGCACAAACTTCACCACTATGCCAACAGGCCAGCCCCATACCCCCCAGCTACTTTTTAAGACCAAAGTAGGTTTTCTCCACCCTTCTAAGTATTCATTTTCTTTAATACCGTGAACTTTTGTTTCTGGTAGGATTTAGCACAATGGAAATTTGTCCTTGGTATCTCTTGGTGGCTTCCTTGGGGAATAGCACAGTGGGGTGTAGGATTAGAGAAGGTACTTCCTTTGACTCTTTTCTCCTCTGAGTGAGGCTTCAGCTATCAGGGAATGAGGGTGAATGAGGGGTCCCTAGCTTTCCACGCACAGAGAGGTCAACACATCCTTTGGGACTTTATTGGAGTCACTTGATCCAATATAAGCTATGAAGTCTCCATTACTATTTGGCAGGATGTTAGTATGAGAAAGATCTGAAGACTAAGATTTTACCCAATGTGAGTCTGTCCTTAAAAACCAATTTCTTTGTATTCCTTCCTCTCTTGCTGAATGCCTTTGTAGCAGTCAGGGTTCTTCATTGCAATCAACAGAAAACGATTCTGTTGAGGCACTGAATTTAGGACATTGAGTCTGACAGAACTGCCAGAAAGGCCGGAGAACCAGGCTTGGAAAACGGTGAGAGGAACAAAGGGCCGTGAATAACTACCCCTGGAAACCTGGTGCTCTTGTCACCCCTCTGCACCTTCAGTTCCAGGTGGACCAGTGACCCATCTTCAGTGACCCAGGTGGGAGTGCCCAATGGCTGGATCTAGTTTACATGTCCATGCCCTAGATGGGGGTAGGGAGGTGGGTGCAGTGAATAATTGGTCTTTCTAGCATCCAATTTGGGGGTCCAGAGGCTTGCTGTCAAGATATGGTTCTCTTCCCACCTGCTGGGGCCTCAGAAACTCCACAGTTGACCATCACGCTTCCTTCCCTATCCAGCACTGCCCTAAAGTAGGGGACCTTTTAACTGTCAAATCCCTTTGAACCAACATACTCTCTGTATACACATCTTAAGCTTAATTAAAGCATGCTAATTGTCTAATGTTTCATGCAGAATTATTTGCTCAACGAATACTGTGCAAGGGCAGAAAATTAAAATGAAAGGCTTGATGTTTAATATGGTATACTTACTGTAGAGAGCACTGGAAATTGCCAGGCAGGTATAATAGAAAGTAGGTCATTTATTCATCACTTAGTGTAAATGGTTTTTTCTTTAATGGTAATAGCCATTCATTCTATTTGAAACAAACACATTTTTAGAATTTTAAAGGATGGTTTGGATTATAAATGGTTTTTGGCCTCTGTCACACCAAGGATTTCAGAAATGTTGTAAAAACATGATATATTTACCATTATACTGCTATTAAGAAACTTCTTGCATGCATTCTTTATTATGCAGAGGATACTCAAGTCACTGAGATGATCATTTATATTAAATAATGGCTGAAGCCTGGTTTTGGTTCAAAATGAACCAACAATAGGAAACCATAAAATGAAACACCTCACAATAAAGCCAGAAATGGTATGATCCCTTTAAACCATTATCTTAATTTTACTGATTTTTTTCCCTCTTCAGGTGATGTTCTGATTAGTGTTGGACATGCCAATGTGTTAGGATATACTCTTCGAGAATTTTTAAAGCTTTTGCAACATATCACCATAGGAACAGTGCTACAAATCAAGGTTTACCGAGATTTTATTGACATACCCCAAGAATGGCAAGAAATATATGATTTAATCCCTGAGACCAAATTCCCAGTAACACGGTAAGTAGTTCATTTTAGGATATCTTTGTTATACTACAGAATCCCCAGGGTCTATGAAGCACAGGGTCTTAGTTTAATGTGAGAATTATCGAATGGACCATGGTAGGAGGGTTTGGTGACACCACCACAATAATTTAGTGGGTTTCTAAATCCTTTTGGAAAGGACAGTCTGCAGGACCTAATATGAGGTAGAATAATAAAGACAAGAGCCTTGAACCTGGAGTTAAAAAAAATACAAACCACCTGATGGGAACTCGGACTCTAAACCTACCTGTAAGGTGCCCCCTTTTCCAAAGTCAGCCCTTAAACACCTGCCACAAATCCTTTTCTCATTTGTCTCCTGCATATTGAACTTCTCTCTCTCTGGATCCTTCTCAATAACATTTAAGAAGCCTTTTAAAGCCTCTAACATCTTAGCAAACCCCACTCTAACTCCACTCTCCCCTCCCTGCCCCCTTCAGGCACTGTCCTGTCCCTTGACTCCAAACTTGTTCAAAGAGTTGTATTCGACATCGCCATTTCCCCAGGAGACACCATTTCCCAGGCACTCCTCAACCCACTTTAATCCAGGCCTTGCTTTCATCACTTGAGAGGTCTCTTCCCAGGGTCACTCACAACCTTCACACTGCTGCTTCCAATGGACTCAGTCTTTATTTTGCTTGGCTTCGAGCATTAGATGCTTTACAGCCTCCCACTCACTCTTGTTGAAACATCATCTTCCCCAGGCTTCTGTGATACCCCACTCCTCTGACTTTCCTATGACCTCTGGACACTTCCTCTTGGTCTCCTTTTACCCAACTTTGGAGTTCCTCAAAGTTTAATCTTTGGCTCTCTTCTCTTCTTCTGGGCAATCTCATTGACGCCTGTGGTTTCTATTACTATCCATACATTAATAATTTTCAAATTGTATTATCTCCAAACTTGTATATTTAAACACTTACTTGATATCTTCATTAGGATGTATCATAAACCTCTCAAGCTCGTTGTGCCTAAAATCTAAAGCTAGCTCACCACTGATCTTCCAGAGGCACCAACTCACTGGAGGAGTATTTGTCTAGTTGAACAAGTCAGAAATTTAGGAGTTGTACTTGATTTCTCCATCTCCCTTGTCTCCCATACCTTACCCCCTAAATAATCAATAAGACTTGTCATTTTACCTTCCAGCCATCTCTCACATTTGTCCACTTCTCTCTGGCCACTACCATCACCCCAGTCAAAGCCACCATTTGGTCTCTGTGCATCTACTCTTATCTTCTGTCCATTTTCTACACAGAATGATCCTTTTACAACGCAAATCTGATCGTGACATGTTCCTGCTTAAACTCTTGTAAGACCTTCTTTTGTTCTCAGGATAAATGCCAAAATCCTTACATTGGCCTCTGCTATCCATGGTTTGGCTGGTGTCTGCATACTGCTCTCCTCTTCCCTCTCTAGTCCACTTTGGCTTTTAGCTCTTTTGCCTTATGTTGCTCTTTGCCTCGGGGCCTTTGCACTTGCTCTTCTGTCTGCAACATGCTTAGGACCCTTCCTTGAAGGCCTTCCTAAAGGAAGTGTTAACACACTGTCAGGTCCACCTTCATGTGTTCTCATAGCACCGTGTATCTCCTTTACAGCGTTTATCCCAATTTCAATGACATAATCTGTGTAATCAATGGTTTACTATGTTGCCCGGGGAGAATGTAAACTCTATGAAGGCAGAGACTAAACCTGTCTTGTTCTGCCAAACCTACCGCATGACTTTCATGTGGCTGAGGGCTCATTTATTCAGAGTGAATGAAAATGGAAATCCAGCTCTGAATCTCAGGCAAATCACTTAATCTCTGAGAGCTTGTTTATCTGTAACACAGGAGTACCAGAGAGCTTGTTTATCTGTAACACAGGAGTACCAGAGACTCTTCTGAGGATCAGATATGCAAGGAAGTTCTGGAGAACATGAGAACATGAGATCCTTTTCTTTTAGTGACAGATTCAGTGCTCTGGTGCAAAAGTTTGTTGTTGTTAGTGCCACTGAATCATTTCAAAATCCTAGCAACCCTGTGTATAGCAGAGTGGAACCCTGCCTGCCGAACATTTTGTGCCATTCTCTCACCTTTCGGCACTATATGTGACAGTGCTCTGCTGTTATTCATAGGGTTTGCATGGTCAATTTTTTGGAAGTGTGTGGCCAGGTCTTTCTTCCTTGTCTTAGTTTGGAAGTTCCGCTGGAACCTGTCTACCACGGGTGACCCTGGTGGTATTTGAAATACTGGTGGCATAGCTTTCAGCGTCACAGCAACATGCAGCCACCACAGTATGACAACCAACAGATGGGTGGTGCGGTTCCCTGACTGGGAAACAAACCTGGGCCACGGTGGTGAGATCGCTGAATCTTAACCATTAGACCCCAGGGATGGTTGATGCAAGGGTGGTCCTTATTAATTCTGACAGGATTCCTGAGCGCTAGTTGCTGCAGCTATGCACCTTTGCTTATTGGGATGGGCTCAAAGAAATATGGCTAGGGACTTGACCAAGACTAAAAAATGGCCCACGTTGCATAGACATTACTTCAGAGATTCCAACTTGTGGCCCAAGGGACTTTGCTCATCTCCCACAGCACTTTAAAAACCCAGAAGAGTAGTCACCTGTAGAGAGAAAGGAGGATACATGGGGCTTTTCCAGGGGCCAGTAATACTCTATTTCTTGACCTGGATGGCGGCTACCAAGGTGCTTATAATTTTTTTCATTAAACTGTTTTTTGTATTTTTCTGTATATTTCAAAATTAAAAAAATGAAAAATATATGAATTAGTTGCCAAATTTACAAATCTAAGATTTCATGGAAAATCTGCATCTTTGATTTCTCCTGAAAAATCAAAAGATGGGCTTCATTTCCACATGTGACAGTGGACTAGAGCTGGGTAGCAGCTGTCCCCTTCAGATCAGGCATAGACTGGGGAAAATTCTTCTCCCCAATAACCAAACCAATCCTGATTTGATTAAAATCATTAATGATAATAGTCAACACTTATTCATTGCTCACTATGTTGTGGGCTCTGCTCTACAAGCATTATACCATTTAATCCTCATGCCAATTCTTTTTATTACCCTCATTTATAGATAAGAAAACTGAAGCCAAGGAAGGTGTGTGTAAACTTGCCAGGGGTCACAGGGCTAAGTGGCATAGGTCTGTCTCTAGAGCAGCAATGTCCAATAAGAACTTTTTGCAGTGAGAGAAATGTTCTGTACCTGTGTTGTCCCATATGGTAGCCACTAGCCATATGTGAGGCTTTGCAACTGAGGAATTTTAAATTTTATTCAAGTTTAATCAACTTCAATTTAGCAGCCACATGTAGCTGATGGACCCTATACTGGGGAGCACAGCTCTCGAGCCTGAGCTCTTAACCATTAGCTTATAGAACAACTATGTTCTAAACATTTTAATTACACAGATTTTGAGATTCAGAATACTAAAATCTAAGGATGGCAGACTGACTATTCAAGAGCAGAGAAGAGATAAACACAGAATAGCACAACTTAAGTATGGGGCTAAAACCTACAAACCTAGGAACAATACCAATCATGTTCTGAATCTTTTTCTACATTAGGCAAAGTGCTTATATCTAAGGCATTTTAGTAACTTACGTGGAAGGGGGTAGGGAAGGGGCAAAAGAGGAAGGAAAAGGCTTCTTTTTTTTTTTTTTTTTTTTCCGTGAGGAAGATCAGCCCTGAGCTAACATCCACACCAATCCTCCTCTTTTTGCTGAGGAAGACTGGCCCTGGGCTAACATCTGTGCCTACCTTCCTCCACTTTATATAGGACACCGCCAAAGCATGGCCTAACAAGCGGTGCATTGGTGCGTGCCTGGGATCGGAACCTGGGCCGCCAGCAGCGGTGTTTGCGCACTTAACTGCTATGCCACGGGGCCAGCCACAGGAAAAGGCTTCTTTCACAAAGTTGGTATGACCCTTTTCAGGAGCAAATGGCACTGTGTACACATTGGAGAGAATATTCCATATAATGCTCTGGGCAGGCCTAGTGGTATAAAAACTGTTTCCAGCCAACCCTGACCTCTGCTGGCTTGTGCCTTAAGTCCCAGTTTAACAAGAACCTAGCCCTAGCACCTGTCCTTTATGGTTACCTAATACAGAGTTAAAAGGATACCCTTTGCAGTCTGAAAAAAAGAGTACCTTGGATTTTTTTCCATTCATGTGCTATACAGGAAGCCCTGGGCAAGTGTGAAGGCAAATTGTTCTAGTCTTGAGATCTTCTGAATCTTCTTGCACAGCACTAAATCAAGGATCAAAGAAAATCACACAATTTAAGACTAGAGGAGGCTCTCAGTAAAAATGACTCAGTACCAACTGTATATTACTAGAAGAGACCAACTTTAAGAAAAGCTGTTCAACTTCTTGGGAGCAAATAAAACAGGCAGACCTCCAAGGATATTAGTGATAACACTAGCAAGTCTGACAGGTTGGGGCGGGGTGGGGAGTGGGGGAGAAACCTATTTCCTATTTCCTTTTAGCAGCACAGAATGTACTAGAGGTTCATAATCGCAAAGATCTAGTTTTGGATCTGCTGGGCAACAGCACCAGGATGGGCAGAGCAGGTGACAGACAGCATTTCTTCAGGAAAGTAACAGGCACAGGTACTGCAGGCATTAGAAAAGTTCAAGTTGCTAGTAGGCAATCATTAACCAAGGTCCAACAATCAAGAAATAGTTGGGGCAAGTTACAAAAAAATCTTTAAAAGCTTTTGGACAGCAACAGAGAGGTGGAATAGTGAATGATCAGACACACCTGAGTAGAAGGGTGTTCTACAAATCCACATTGGTAAACCCAGAGGAGAAGCAAAGAATGATGCTCAGGAGAAAAAAAGAAGACTCAAAGATTTACCAATGACTCGCATGTTGAAGATCTTTGAAGCCCACTATTTCCTGACTCCCCTGGAAATTGGTAATATTCTCTGTTATTGATGACCCCATGTGACCCATGAGAACAGAGTTCAGTGGAGGAGATAACCAGTTCGACCTGTCATTCTGGATGGAATGAAATTTAACCTACCCTTAAGGCCTGCTAACATTCAGGTCAGTAGTCTGGCTGAAGTCTGTGCAAAGCTTTTTAAAGTAATGTGAGGGCCAGCCTGGTGGCGTAGTAGTTAAGTTTGCACATTCCGTTTCGGTGGCTTAGGGTATTCGAGTTTGGATGCCAGGTGTGGACCTACACACTGCTCATCAAGCCATGCTGTGGCAGCGTCCCACATACAAAATAGAGGAAGACTGGTACAGATGTTAGCTCAGGGCCAATCTTCCTCACCTGAAAAATAATAATAATAATAATAACAAAGTAACGTGAAATAAGGTAGAATTTGATTTACATTTAGGAATTGAAACAAATACAAAGGTACTTGTAAAAAAAGAAAAATTTCAACAACACAGAAAGGTAGTGCTAAAGCTAAAGTGTATCCTTTCTTTTATGAGACAAAGCAGGTTATAAGACATCTTGTTAGGAGACAGTGAATGTTCAGACATTAAGAATCCATTTCATTCACTATTCTTTTCATTTCAGCACAACAAAGAAAACTGAGCAGGCGAAAGATGACTCTTTCACAAGCAGTGATGAAAATGAAGATGTAGTTTTAGATAAAAGAGTTAAGTATCATAAAGGTCCACGGTCCACTGGGCATCACACTGCAAGGAGACCAATGTCTATCTCCAGAGAATGGCATGGATATAAAAAGAAGAACCGTACTATTAGTGTAGGAAAAGACGTTAACTGTGATGTGATGATTCACAGAGATCACAAGAAAGAAGTGAGAGCCCCTTCTCCATACTGGACAATGGTGAAGCAAGACAATGAAAGCTCCTCCTCCTCCTCCTCTGCCTCAGATGCATTTTGGATGGAAGACTATGCCCAAGTTGAAAAGAGCAAGGGTCAACCTGTACAAAAGTCGGTTAGGAAGCAGTCTGCAGATCTGCGATCACACGAGCATTTACCCTGAAAATACTCAATTTTCGTGCACTGCCATGTACAGGTTTGCTATACTTACAGGAATATGTACAGACTTACCAATTCTCTTTCATGACTGTGTTGTAAAGCCTTTTGAGACCTTCTTCAACTTGATATCCAAAGACTTCCCTGGGGTCTCACAGGCTTCGGAAACTTTGCTATTTTCAAAACAGTAACATCATTCAGATCATTAAAACCCTCCTTTCTGAGAAGAATGTCTCATCTTTTAGAAAGCGCAGCAGAGGAACCCAATATCAGAATGCGCAAACACAGCAGAGAATTTCACTGTTTAAGGTAAGTACCACATTTTTATTTAGATATTTAGTTTCTCTTGTTTTGCAAACTTCTAGTGCCATACTTAAAAGAAATAAATAACAGAGATATATTTTTTGGCTAGTTATTCACATTAGAATTTTCTATCCTTTTCCAGCCCTACTTTTACTTTGAATGTTGGGTTGATAATTAATTACCTGAAAGAGACAGGATAGAAACAGATGAGGGAGAGAGAGAAGATGAGAGAAAAAAGTGCCACAGTGAAGATAAATCAGACAGGTAAAATGAAGCAGTGGGAATACAGGATATGACTAATAGGGAAAACAGTTTTTAGAAATAACTCTATTGCAAAAAAGGCAAAAGGGGGTAAAACTCAGATCATTTAATTGTTCTTACCCAAAAGGGCAGATTTTTAACTGCTTTTACCTTAAAAAGCCACCAGGAATAATCTGGAAATATTTACTCTGATAGCTACTTAGCCTTGATTTTAATAGTTTCTGATACTCTGTACTCTATTATTATATTCCTATTCTCCTTTACAGCATCTGAAACAAAGATCTCAGCGTATAATAAATACTTATTGATTAACTGATTAGGAAAATGCAAAAAAACCCATTTAAACAGAATGTTTTATTGACTTTAGGTCAGCTGGGAACAATTACCTGCATTTATGCTTTAAGATATTTCACCTCCTTAAAAAAAAAGATAAATACTATATTCGAGACTTGACTCTCATATGTTTGCTGCTCTGGGTTGAGAAAATGTTCAGCTCTGTCCTGCAATGTGTGTTTCAGTATTACAACTCATCAACGAAAGGCGTATGCCCCAAATTTCCACTTGCTGCCATTGACTTCTGACCAGAAACAAACTTCTTTGCAGCCTTTAAGTAAACAAACAAAAAAAGACAGAAAGTTAACAGAAATAGGGACTTGTATTATCAAGTAGATAAACTTATTTATTCTGTTATTTCAAGTGTTTATGGGTAGGACATTCCAAGCCAGCAATTCTATAACAGCCTCTTATGAAAACTACAGGAGAGGGCTGGTGCATTATTTTAGTTTGTCACAATGTAGAAGGAAAAGCTCAGCTGTTCCTCTGAATGGCCCATCATATAGTGTGACTGAGCAAGCGTGGTACTCTAGATATGAGGGTAGCTGTTAAAAAGGGGGATAAGGAAAACTTTACTAACACTACAAAATAGGACAGAGTCAGCCTTGGGCAGGGCTGTACTTTCCTGTTTCTGTATTACAACGGAAAATAGTCTGAGTCAATAAAAATACATTGACTGTTAACTTGAAAGTCAAACTTTATATCCTAGTATTCTTTATGCCACTACTTCAAATTCAAAGGCTGGTTGTTTAGGTTAAGTGTAATACCATGAATAGCAGCCCCACATTATCTCAGGGCAACTTTTTTAAATGGAGAGATGGCGGTGGAGGCACCTGGGCTGGGACTCACGTGATAGTATATAAGATGAGGACAGCCATTTGGAAGAGTATATAACGATAAACTTAGGGGTCCAAGTGAAATCAAATCAGGGTTACTATCTTAAAACAGCCTGTCTCTTTTTTCTATCCCCATTGTCCCTATACAAGGTAGACCTGTTGGTGAGAAGATTATTGAAACTTCTGCAATGGAAGGGGAGTTGGCCTTTTAATATAGGAAGGACTGGAAAAACCTACTGATTTTGGATTTATTCTGTAGTTCTGTACTTGTCAGGCATAGTAGGGAATACAAACAGGTATAAGACAGTCTTTGCCCTCAAAACAACTCAATCTCATAGGGAACAATAATGTATGTGAAAAAAATAATATAGTAAGAGTGGGAGAATGTCTTAGGCTGAGAAGACCAAAGAAAATCTGGAAATGCTGGATCGTGAAGGATTGGCAGAATAGAGAATTTATTTCCTGGGAGTGAGGAGGAAAAATACCAAACTCGACTATGAGGTTGAATCATATGAAACTGCCAATAGTCGACTCCTCTTGACCTTTAAGAATTTAAAATGATTTAACCTAATGGTAATTGAGTTGCATAAGGAAGACACATATACTCTGAGTTGACAAGGAAGCTATTTGCAGATGTGATGGTAACGAGCCCTCCTGCCTCCACACCAGCTAGAGAGGCACCAAACAGCATGAGAATAACATTTACAGCCCTAGGGAGCTTACACATTCCTTCTGAAATTGGATCATTAAAGTCAAGTTATTTAATGTTAAATCATAAATTTTCATTTGCTTACATTTATGACATCAGCATCAGCTACTGAGTCAATCTGCTGAAGGACTGTGGATGGCGGCGTGTACGAACCAGCAGCTAGAGCCTGGGACCCAACTTCATCCAGGAAACCCTCGGAAGACTCCACTGACATTAGGTACCCAGCTTTCAGCTTGTTCCTGTCCAATAAAAGGTGTGTAACCAGGAAGCCACTTTTACAGAGCAAGGCAACTTTAAAGTATATTCCCAAACTCTTAAACACGTTTTGGTAAATTAACAGTTCTGAAACCTTACAGTGCTAAAGGCCTCCATTCTGTTTTTTCAGTTCACCAACTATTTTATTATTTACATTGTCATTTAGAAAGCTGTCAGTACAAGATTATACTGAAAACCCAACAGATTGCCTTTTGATTTGGAACTGGAACTTAGATCTAGTTACGACTATTTTAATGTGAAGTTTTGATTAGTGACTCTTGCCTCCTGATACTTTTTTTGGTGATAATTTTAGGCATTTCTATTAAAGAAAAATACCTATGTGGGCTCTTTTTTTTTTGTTAAATATTTTTTTTTTGTGTGAGGAAGATCAGCCCTGAACTAACATCTGATGCCAATCCTTTTTTTTTTTTCTGAGGAAGACTGGCCCTGAGCTAACATCTGGGCCCATCTTCCTCTACTTTATATGGGATGCCGCTATAGCATGGCTCCACAAACAGTGTGTCGGTGTGCGCCCGGGATCTGAACCGCGAACCCTGGGCTGCCACAGCAGAGCACAAGACTTAACTGCTTGCGCCACCGAGCCAGCCCCCTATGTGGGCTCTTAAGGCACTGTCCATAATGCACTAAGTTCACAACTTAGCAGAATGTTGTGTGCTGATTCTGTATCTCCCCCACCCTGCCACCCCCCAGCCCCATTCCTATGCTGGGATTTGTCTCATTGAGTGAGGGTAGGGCTGGATGGAGAAGGCAGGCAGGCAAGGACAGTATAAGTCTTATAAGTCCCAGTAGCTTAAATATGGGCACAAAAGCATCAATTTGAAATAAAACAAAATCCACTTCATAATTCTCCCAGAAAGAAACTGGTGTTCAGTAAGGCACTTGAGTTATTTAACTCTCAAATAAACTATCCTCCTTTGGCACTCTGTAGCAAGACTTCCATTTAAACATAATTACAATTTAACGCAGCAATTTTACCACATTGTCAGTTTAATTAAAAAAAGATTTTACCCTGCAATAAACTTGACCAAGAGATTATTAGTTTGTCTCTTCAGGAATGACACCTCATTTTCTCTTTCACTATAGGAAGACTAAGAAAAAGTACCTTACAAGAAAAAGTATCAACTCCATCAAAATGGCAGAAAACAAACATATCTTGACATTAATAACCGGAATTCCATTTTCTACATGTTGCTGTACCTTATAAAAACTGTGCTATACTTATTAAGAAAATACATTTTCTTAAATAAATTAGATTTGAAATAGATTTTTCTTCAATAAATCCAGTGTTTCATTTTATTCTCATCATGTTTTCTTTCTGGTGCAATCATACAGAACTGTATCCTATCAATCCTTGGTCCCATGTATACAATATTTAATAAACTGTGTTGCACTTATGCAAGAGATGAAATTTTTTAGTGTGTTCAGTATAACAAAAGTAATAATACGAGAAATGACTAAAAGGTTGTTCCCTCCTGGGTTGTAATTCACCATCATACTGTCCTTGTAGCAACACTAAAAGATCTTGAAGACCAGCTGAGGTTCAGGATTCATACTTTGAATTGTCCTAACTGGATAATCCAGAGTCAAACTTAAATGTTTTAAGCTGCTGTATGAAAACGCAAGTTATTTCCAACTCTGTCCAAAGTCTGTCTCTTTCACTAAGAGAAACTCCCAGAACTACTGAGTTGGAGGTATTGTTAGCATTTCCAATCAGGACAGTGGTAATGTAAAAATCACCAAATAGGAAACAAGTATTTCAGTCTTTTAATCAGATATCTTTTTTTTTGTCTATTAAATCAGTAAAGAATAAAAAAAAAGAAATTGCCAATGGTTGCAGCAGAACAGGCACTCTTCTATACTGGTGGTGTGGTTATAAACTGGTACAACCTTTTTATATTTTGATTCAAAATATAAAAATAAAAATATTATATAAACACACACATATATTTTAACACAGAGTCTTTCATTATAATGTTTCTAACTCTTGACCCCGTTGGGAATCTATGCCAAGAAAGTAATACAAAATAGAAAAATGTTTTAAGTCCAAAGATATCCTTTATAGTTTATAATTTTCAACTGAAGAAAATGTCCAAAAAATAAATTTTGATACAATATTGTTTATGACAAATTTTTAGTAATCTGAATAAATGGGAACATCATTATAATGTTAAAAGAGAAATCACTGGTAGGGAATGAAAGATCATTTTTGTCTTTTTTTTGTATTTGTAATTGTCAAATTTCTACAACAAAAATGCTATTAAATAGGATGTAGGTATATATACAATATTAATAATGTTTAAAAATGCATAAAAATGGTCAAGAAAATAAGCAAAATGTTAACAGTTATATCTCTAGGTGATAGGATATGGGTGAGTTTCCCTTTCCTTTTGAATACTTTTCTGGACCTTTCAATCCTTTTATGCATATATCACAATATTGTTTTAACTAGAAAAAATACAAGTTTCAAATAATTAAAACATGAAACACAGTTACTACTGAAACTTACTTGGCAGCCTGGACATCCGTATTGGAAAGGTTTCCTTGAGCAATTGCTTTTACTTGGTTATAGGCAGCCTTGATAACCTAGGATAGACAAGTAAAAGCTGGTCACCCTTGATCAGTGCCAGAGTCTCCCGCAGCAATCAGATACTCCTCTATTGAGGCAAAAACACAAGATGCAAGGTTGGTTGCAGAGAAACAGCATAGTGTCCATTTGGAATTCTTAAGTCACTATGTGTTCCTTATTTTTCCAGTGTTCCATAACGTAGTTTGTATAACTTATAGTATCCAAGTAGCCAAGCTTCTTCCAAAAGTAAAGTGG